TCCCCATTTTCTAAAATCCACAACATAATCTTCCACAGGGTGACAACCCTGCTGGAGGGAATGGAGGACAGTCTCTGCAGTAGATGAGCACTGGGAATCATCATATAATTGAGCCATGCCATCAAAAAAGGTGGTTAAGAGCTGAAGAACAGGACTTTCTTTTTCCAGCAAGTTATGAGCCCTAGATTGGAGTTCTCCAGATAACAGTGAGATTACGAACCCCACATTGGTGGTCTCTGATGCAAAGGTACATGTTTGCAGGACTAAGTAAAGCTAGCATGCGTTTTTAAAAGCCCCGAATTTTTGTTGTTCACCCAAAAACGCTCAGGAGCTGGTACTCGCGGTTCTGGAGCAGGCACCGGCAGAACAGGAGCAGCTTCTGGATGTGAGTGACTCTGAGCTGCAGCAGGTGGAGATGATACAGAACAGGGAATTGCAGTTATTCGCCCTTCTAATTGGAAATAGCCTTCCTGTAGGTTGTTTACGACTTGGGTGAGTGAGGCCAATTGTTGACATAGTGTTTCCTTGAGTAAGAAAAAAATAAAGAAGAAGGGCTTGTAGAGAGGTATAAAACCAATGCATATGTAAAAAATATATATGAAAATGTATTAGACATACAAATATTAGATAAATGAGATAAAAACAAATCCAGTTAATACAATAAACAAGGGTTCAAGTTTACATATGCACAGTGTCAGGGCTGGAATAATGGGCCAGGTGTGGAACCCCTTGGCAGGGACGAATAATGTCCAAAAAGTGCAGTACAAAAGTATAATCCAATCGGGAAGTCAGGTCCAGTTCCGGGTCGTGGCGGGCAGCAGGAAACGTAGTGGAAGGGTCGGTAGCCGGGAAGTCAGATCAAACAACAGGTTCACAGGAGGGAGCTGGGTGTTCACCATGGGGTAGAATAACTCAGCAATGAGTCAAGGCTCTGACCAGCTTTAAATACACAGGGAACCCAGGACCACCCCCTGCCAGGGCAACCAGAAAGCTTCCCCAGTCAAAGTCCAATCACAAGGCTGAGGGCAAGTGGTGAAGGCTGAAGTCCTCCACCAGCCTGAGTAGCACCTGTGGCTTGGAATGGCGCAGGCGCACTACGCGACTTGCGCACGCGCACTGGCCACACCAGATGCCCTGCCAGGGGGAGAAGGAGGAGCTACCTGTGCACGATGCCCGCGCCTGCGAACCTGACGAGGAACGGCCCCCCTGGGTCCCTGACACCCAGTAAGCACAGTCTCAGGCCAAATGCATCAGTCATGATTCCAAAAACTTTCATAAAGTACATTTTCCAAATACATATCTGACATGATTCGGCCCGACGCATTTTGCAGTTAGCTTCTTCAGGGGACCAGCATGTATTAATCTAGCAATAGAGATTATGCATAAAATTATTCTCTTAATATATAGTCCAGCATCTGTACAATATATGACATCCACATACGGAACATGTTTTTTGCAATTAACCACATAGGTAGATAGCCCCACCAGAAGTGGGCATTTGGTACTTACCATACACAAGCAGTGCCTGGAATAAGACCGATGTTAGGAGGACCGAAATACTTAGGTGGCTAGGATGCACCCAACCACCACACTCTGTCCCTCATCACGCCTGGGACCCCGGGGCATCAATGGGAGGAGTGCTTGGGAAACTTAGCGAAGGCCCAGCCAACCTTGCTGGGATATTTCTATAAGAGGTGTATAGTAGGAATGGCCACAACCCAATAATGTAGTAGTCCTAGTTGATCAACCTGTTGGATAAAGAGGATAGGATATTTCTAAAAAATGTGATCTTGGGCCAAAATTCCTACATACCTCCACATTTGAACTTCTCTTATAAATGTATTTATATAACTCAAGGTGTACATGTTTTTCTTTTATTGGTTTAGGATAAACCAATCAAATATTTGGTGTGTTCCAATCAGAAAATCCCTATGTCTGGTCTATAACGTGTGTTATCTTTCAACGATAAGATTAGTGCATGTGAGTGGGTAAAGTATATTTTGGCTTACCCATATCTATTTTTTTTTAAAGTGCAAATATGTATCTATGTATAAATAAATCAGGTTGCTGCAATCTACCGTGACAAGGAATTGCAATTAATGTGTGTATAGTGTTTCCTTGGAGAAGGCACTCCTCTCGGTCTCTGACATTTTCAGATGGTACTGTCACGTACCTGGCAGGAGACAGGTGGAAGAGGAGGCCTCTCTTGCGTATTGCGTCCTGCACCCCCTGGGGGTTGAGACAGAGTGTGGGAGGACAGCGAGAGTGCCAATAGAGAGACCGGGCACCATGCTGGAGATGTCCAGAAGCAGAGTAGTCAGCGTAGCTGAGGTCAAAACTGGGCAGGCAACGTGGTGGCAGAATCGTGAGGCAGGAGTGTGGTTGAGGAAGCCGAGGTCAGAACCAGCTAGGCACAGAAACGACAGGCAAGAGTAAGTCCAGGAAAACAGGCTAGGGTCAAAGGGCAGGCAGCAGGCAGAAAGGGAGTCAAACAATCCAGATCCAGGTGAAAGAACAGGGCAACAGATAATCCACAGGTTTAGCAGGTTCAGGGTACAAGCTGAAGACCATCAGCACTGAAGCAAAAGGCAGGCTCGCTTATATAGTGCAGTCCATTACGGCAAGATGTCACTTCCTGTGTGTCGGCCATTTGCGCGTCTGCCTGCACACGTCTGGTTGCACGCGCATGTGCACTAGAGCATGTTTTCCAGTTTTTTGGAATGCAAGTTTTCGCGCATATGCGGCTACAATCTTTTCCTTACAAATCTACATTAAACCACTGATTCAATCTTCAAAACAATTGTGTCGTGAATCTTCCCAGGCACCACCGTGCTCCTTATTGTCTCCAATCACACTCACCAGATTTCCAGGGCTACCTTTATTCAGGATAAGCCATATACATTTTATATCAGCAAGATAATATCCCTTCTCTGTGTTATTTCTCAAATAGATTTAGATCTTCGGATCTCAAGAAAGATTTACTTCTTCTTCTCCTCCTCCTCCTATGAATCTTTTCTTTACTCAAAGCAAATAAGAAAGCACTCCAATCTTCCAGTGTGCGTAATTGACCTCTTCCTCCACTAATACTGAAAAGCGAGATACTCATGCAAGAAAGATTTTAAAATCTCCCATTGTGTAATATTATTTTTATAAAGATTTATTGAAAAAACAAAGTAAACTTACAAATCAAAGAAGTGAAAACTGGCTCCTCTCTCTCCTCGTAGCAGCGTGTCATACAGGAAGCGATCATATGCCCCGCCTGATGCGTTTTGTCACTAGACTTCCTCTGATGGTTGGCATGCATACCCTCGCTTTCCTGTGTAACTCCATTGATTCTCTCAGCCCGACATCATCATATCTGTAGTGTTATAATCTCATTTAACCACTAGATGTCATCATATTCACATTTCTATGTTTAATGCTGCCTGTTAATAAAACATTTCATTATCTCATATTATAAAAACTTTCAGATCATTTAATCAAATTTTCTAAAATAATCAAATTCTTCTACAATTATTTAGGAAATATTCTTAAAATGTTACATTCTATAAACCTCTTAACAATCGTGGATCAGAGAATAATCGCAATGTATATGTAATTATCTGGGATTAATTAATAACAGAACACAGAGAGTCAAAATCACATTTATGAACCTAAGCTGCCAGCCCTGACTTTTGGAACTGTCTGACCACGCTTCTGTATTTCCCTTTTGTACTGCGCATCCAGTATTCCCTTAGCAGGAGGCCTATCCGTTTATACTTATCATCAGTTCTGTCTATGAGTATACCTGCTATTGGGCTCCATCCTAACCACATTCCTGATAGTTATTAATTAATCCCGGATAATTACATATACATTTATTCCCTGATCCACGATTTATATTGTTGATATGTTTAGGACAATAGGGCAATAGTTTTCAGTTGTTTGAGCTAATTTGGTACAGGGCAATACAGGTCACATTTTTGTTTTTAGCAACTCTGTTATTGCACATTGGTGGATCACTCCCACTCTAATAATGCCTATGCAATGCCAAAATCTTGGCTCTCTGGAGGTAGTTAAAGGAGAACTATGAGGTGAGTGAAAATCACTCAGCCTCATAGTTCGAGTCCCTCCTTTACATTAGAGTCCCCTCTTTCACATTAGAGTGCATCTCCTTCTACCCCAGAAGGCCCCCTGTACATCAGAGTTCACCCCTTTCACATCAGAAGCTCCCATTACATTAGATTTCCCTCTCACATCAGAAGCCCCCATGTACATTCGAGTGCCTCACCTTTCACATCAGAAGCCCCCTTTACATTGAAGTTCCCCCCTTTCCCATCAGAAACCCCCCTTTTACATTAGAGTCCCCCCTTTCACATCAGAAGCCCCCTTTTACACTAGAGTCCCCTCTTTCACATCAGCAGCCCCCCATTTACATTAGAGTCGCCTCCTTCACATCAGAAGCCCCCCTTTCACATCAGAGTCCCCTCTTTGACATCAGAAGCACACATTACATTAGAGTTCCCCCCCCCTTTGACATTAGAGGTCCCCCTTTCACATTAGAGTTCCCCTCTTTCACATCAGAAGCCCCCCTTTACATTAGAGATCCCTCTCTCAGCAAAAATCTAAAGGCACCCTGGTTGAGGAAGGTTATACTAGACGTATTAGAGCAGCCACTCTTTCCGGTTACACATTGCTGAGTCCTCGGAAGGAAAGCGCAGAGTGTGCAATACTTCTAAACATCAAATCACAGACTTCCACGTTTACCTTCTGTATACGCCAATCCGCAGAGTATGGGCTCCTAAAAAATGGTGGCGGCAAAACATTCCCTTCAAGCTCCACGCTACACAAACTATACGTTACATGTTTGCACACGCGTATCACTTACAAATTTTTTTTTAAATGTATTATGTGTTAAGAAGAATTAATAATATTTATGCCTAATGATAGCGAAAACAGACTACGAGTTACACAAGGCAAAGGCTTATGGGTCCCCCTAGCGGTAACATTGTCTTTCGGTTGATAGTAAATATGGCGCCGCCCGTGCTTGTAGGGACTGTGCTCGGTCTCCTCTGTGTTGTCGGGGCTCGGGCTGAGGAAACGTCGATTATTGAAGAATTTGACGTTAAGCCAGGCGGTGTGGAGAACGCATACACCCGGACTCTGGTCAGATATCTTTTCATTGTTAAAACACTAATGGAAATCTGTGCTATCATTTTGAACTGCATCACCTAAGATGTCCACCAAACAGCATACTAAGCATAGTAGGTATGTGGTTCAAATGTCAAAGTGGCATCACTTCCTCTATCATGGTATTACCATATACTGGAGATCTCCTTTCCTGAAGTATTGTTGATTTAAAAAATGTTTCCTTTTAGTCCTCATGCATACTAGCAGGCTGTGTTTAAAGGGTTATTAAATCCTCATTTGTATTTGCATATATCTACTGCTAGCAAGCAGTAGATATATGCAAAACGATAAAAAAAACCTTTTTGAAAGGGTTAATACTTACCTGTGTCTCCGCCACGCGCTCCCGTCCAAACATCTGAAAATTTCTCGGGCGGGCGCATGCGCCTGGTTCACACCTAGGCGTATTGCATATGCTATTCGCGGTAAAAAAAATTGCGCGACAAACGCGCGTTTCCAAGGGCTACTTGGCTGTATCCCAATGGAAACGCGCAACAAAAACGGCCCAAAGTAGTACATGTACCTTTTCAGGCGTGGGCCGTTTTGTAGCGCATTAGGGACGGGCTGAAATACGCCAAGGTGTGAACCAGACCCATTGAATACAATGGGATTTAGATGTTTGAGCGTTTTGTAGAGCGTTCGTCCAGCGTAGAACGCGCTACAAAACGTTCAGGTGTGAACGAGGCCTTAGATGTTCGGTCGGGAGACGAGGAGAGACACCCGCACGGACTCCGTGGGACGTCAGAGGAAAGGAGGACAGAGGAGTCAGGCTGGATCGGAGACCCTCACCAGCGCTGGAGGGACAGCAAAAAACGACAGGAAAGAACGGATTAAGAGGCATCATTTAAGGTAAGTCCTTACATTAGCACGAGGGGGGGGGATGGCTTTAGTCACTTTAAGCCCAACAGAAGTTATCTGGTAAGAATAAACAACTTTATGCTTCCCAGATCACTTTTTTCTGTGCTGGGCTTAGTTGCATTCATACACATTTACGCGCACTTACACACGTTTAGCCGCATAAAACTTGGCTAGGCGGACCTGGAATGCAGAAATCTCTATTTTGGGTGAACTGACCTAGACTGAATGCACCTAGATGCTGCTGGACGCCTAGGTGTGCATTCAGTCAGAGAAAAGCATTAAATGAGTCCCAGTGCGTTTAGAAATGAGCTCTAAATGCACCTGAACTCAATGTTTTGGTACTTAGTGTGCATGAGGCCTTAAGCATAGGGAAAAGTTATTCTTAACCCTTGAAGTGGGGGTACGCTTGTTTTTGTCTAGGGCAAGGATGGGCAACTCGGGTGTCTCTAATTTTTCTGCATGTCATAAGAATGCTGGACTGCGTCCCTCCCAGTGATGCGGTCTCAGCTGTTGGAGGCGTGTTAGGCACCACGTGCAAGCGTGCTTGTTCTATAATTTTTCACAGCCCATAAAATTTCTCCCCTGTGTCCCTCCCAGTGCGATCCGAATTTTGCTCCAAAAGTATTCTTGCATTTAGGTATGGATGTACGTCCCTGGACAGGAGCATACATCTGTATCTGTACACAAGTATATACATGCCAACTTTCTGAAGTGAGAAAGTGACACCTTCCAGCACAATGGGGAATTTATCATAGCAATTGCGAGTGTTTGAACTTGCACGGAATATATTTGATGCACTTTGCACCAGATTTATGATGCTAGTGTAATGTTGTTCATAGATGAGGTTTTAGGCCTCATGCACACACAACGCAAGAGCAAAATTGTATATTGCGTATATACGTGTATATGCGCGCACTATATGCAATCCCAGAATGCATCATTTGTAATAGAAATTTTAATGAACTGTACGTGCGTATACCCACGCATAAAATACGCAGAAATACGTTGCCCGGGTCGATTCTGTTTTTGCGCATCTTTATGCAGCGCAAATATACGGCTCCATACGCAGCTATGTGTATGGAGCCATTTATTTGCATATGGGACAATACGCGCATATACGTAGCGTATTGTACGGCAGTGTGAATGAGGCCTAATAGACTCCAGGAAAGAAGACTTGTAACGCCAGGCAAAAAGCTTAACTGTCGCTTCTTGAAGAAGTGGTCATGAGGACTTCTTAATTTCTGATTGTTTTGTTAGGTGATGCTCCAGTTTCAGACTGCCGCAAAACAGGTGGAAAAAAATGTGCAGTTGAAAAAGTAGTGCAAGCTCAGGTCAAAACAGGAGCAAAACACGTGCAAACTCTGGTCAAAACAAGGGCACATGTTAAAAGACAGATTTGCACATACATTTTTTTGATCTAAGAGGCTAAAACTGTCGCAATTGCTCTTTGATAAATTCCCCCAATGTATTTAGGCAATGGACACACGCCTGCCACTTATGCAGACCATTACAAATTTATATGCCAAAAATGATTGGGTAAAAAACCCAGATATGGTTTTTCAAAATGGCAAACAAGAAAATTAAGGGGGTTATTCACAAAGCTAGCTGAAGGATCAGCCGTAGCTCCAAGCGGATCCTTCGGCTGCCGGAGCCCTTCGGTTCAGTCGAACTGTACGGGCTATTCACTTTATGCTTCGGGCTATTCACTATATGCTATATGCATATGCTTCGGCGAAAGTGACAGCCAAAGCAGGGTGAACAGCTGGATGAACGCCTCGCAAATGACAGCTGGGAGGAGCCAGCCATGATCTCATGGCTGGCTCCGCCCAGTTGCAATGACAGATCAGCGTCCCCAGGTGGCCTGGGGATTCTGAACTGTCATTAAACAATGACAACTGGGCGGAGCCGGCTGTGACTTCGTGGCAGGCTCCCCCAGTTATTCATTGGCTGGGACCTGCTAGAAGACTCTAGCAGGTCCCGGCCAATAGCAAACAGTTGGAAGAAGCTAGCTGTCACTGCTAGCCCCTCCCAATAGTTTTTTTATTATTTTTTTGTAATTTTTTTTTACATTCGTTATTTAAATTTTTAAACCTTTTTGTTTTTTCAACTTTTTTCATTGAGTTCCTATTCTGCTTGGTACCACGGAGGTACCGAGCAGAACAGCCGAGCTGACTGCTGCTCGGCGGCATTTGGCTATTCACTCACTGCCGTTCAGCCCCTATGTGAATAGAGTGAACGGCAGCGAGTGAGCTGCCGGAGCTTCTGCTCAGCCGATCCAGATGTTGGATCGGCTGAGTCGAAATCCTTCTGCACTTCGGCTCAGCTGAACATGCAAAGTATGTTCAGCTGAGCGAACTGCAGCCGAAGCAAGCCGATGTCCGGCTGATTTCAGCCGATGTCCGGCTGAAATCAGCCGTACAAGCCTGACGTGAATAGCCGAACAGTGTTCGGCTCACTTTACTTCGGGTGGGATATTCACTCGGCTGCCTTCAGCAGCTTTGTGAATAACCCTCTAAGACATAAATGTTTTAGGGCTTGTTCACACCATCTGTAGACCAGATCTGGATGCGTTCCTGCAAACGCAGTCATTCACAGTTTTTTTTATGCTTTTTTGTTTTGTCTCAATGGGTTTTACTTGGGTTTTAGGCCTGTTTCAGTGTGTTTTTGTATGCGCTTGCATGCATTTTTATGTGTTCCAGACCAGAAAAAATGCAGCATGTTGGACAATGGTGTGAACTACCCTAATTTTTACCATTGGAATTACTGTTTATGCATTTTTGGTCTAGATAAAAAACATTCTGCTCTGGAGATGGTGTGAACAAGCCCAAAGAGAGGATTGTTCGTACTTGGAAGAAGAGGAAGAAAAATAGACTTAAGTGTGTGGGGTGCAACGGTTTTTCAAAAATACTTTGGATCATTCAGTGTTGAGTTATGGAATTTGGAGTATAATGGTGGGGTTTATCAGCTGTCTGTTTGTAGGGGGTAGACATTTACTTTCGGCTAGACTCTTTGCTTTCTGGTTTGCTCTCTCAACCAGATCTTTAGGGTAGTGTTTTGCTGAAAAGTGTTCCTGGAACTTGTTTGTCATAATCTACTTCAAGGGGAAAATTTTCTCCTAAATTTAAACTGTCCAAACGGCACAGTTTTGAGCCAGGGTTTGTAGTGGCAGCATCTAAAATAACTGTTGCTGTCAGTTGTCAGTGCAGCAAAACACCCCCAGGAACAGGGTCAGTGCAGCAAAATATGTCTTTGTAATATCCCCTTTGCACACCTTTCAGGTATACCTCAGAATTCAACGTGTGCTTGACCAACTGGTGGATGGTTCCACAGTATACAATCTAGAAGATATGTTGTCCGCACATCATTCTGCTTTGGAATGTCATCTTTATTCATATTCCTTTAGCATGACATGTGACTGCAATGTTTTGGAGCCTCACAGGACCCCTTAGTCAGGCAAAGTGTAGGGCTGCAGCTAATGATTATTTTCAAAATCTATTAGTTAGCCGATTATTAAGTTTGATTATTCGGTTAATCGGATTTAAAAAAATGGCTCCAGTGATGGACTACTAGTTTGTATTGAGATTGTAGTCCATCACGGGAGAAAGCTTGGAGCGGTGGAAGTAAAAAAAAAAAAGTGTGGTGTGCAATATAGTGAAATGGAAAGTGTAAAATTATACAGCAATCAATGCAGAATGGCACCGGCTATAGAGGACTACAAATCCCAGCAATAATACATTACAGCACAATACAGAATACCACCAGCTATAGAGGAATATAACAAATCCCAGCAATAGTACATTATAGCTGGCGGTATTCAGCATTTGCTGGGATTTGTTGTATTCCGCTATAGCTGGTGGTATTTGGCATGCATTGCGCCGCTGTATAATGTATTCGAATAGCCCGCCGATCGCCCTGACAGTTTGTGTGTTCGCCGAACACACAAACTGCCGATGTTCGAGTTGAACTCATGCTCGACTCGAACATCGAGCCCAACCCTATTCTGCAGACCCAGTGTTGATTAGTTTCTCATCTGCTGTGTTTAGTGTCCATGGTTGTTTATTGCAAGTCCTCAACCTTGAAGGTTTGTATAGGTTTTGCAGAACAACCTGTGCATGGCAGTATGCTTTTCAATAACTTTCCTACACAACATTTTTGTGTAGGAAAGATATTGCTGGTGCTTGATGACCTTGTGTCTTGTTGCTCTGCTCACATATCCATTGTCAGAGATCATTAGCACCTGTTCTTGACATTTATAAGGGCTTCGTCAAACCAGTTAGAGTGCATTCCAGTGCTGCTGGAACGCACTGTATCGCATCCTGGCCGGCTCCCTGTGTTTTGGGGCAGGAGGTGCAGGCATTGTTGTGCCACGTGTTCTGGTCCTGGCAATCGCACTGGTGGGGCACGGCTGCGTTGCCATTGACTTGAATGCACCGCCACACCCCCTCTCACCCCAGAACACAGGGAGGCAGCCAGGATGTGATACAGTGCGTTCCAGCAGCTAACTGCTCTGGAACACACTGTAACTGGTGTGAACAAGCTCTTAATAAAGCACTTGGTTATACGCCTACAAATTTCCTATTCTTGGCATTTACAGTGTAAAATGTTGTGATGTACAGAAATGTGGTCATCAGGGTGCTTGTTTCTATTCTAACTTACCTTGTTTTTTTGTTTTTCTAGGGAAGCTTTTCATGCAAATTTACTTACGCTGCCCAGGGAGGAACTAATGAGGTATGAATTTGGGCTACCGTATATACTCGAGTATAAGCCGTCCCGAATATAAGCCGAGGTACCTAATTTTACCAAAAAAAACTGGGAAAAAGTATTGACCCGAATATAAGCCGAGGGTGGGAAATGAGGCAGCTACTGGTAGATAGATACCAATAAAATTACATTAATATTTATTTAAAAGAAAAATAACCTAGCTCTGTAAGTGGAAAAGGGGGTACAGGGCTACATATCATGTACTACGGATCATTTAACCCATTCATATTAGCAGAGGATAATTGTAAATCTATTGTTCAGTGCATTCTATATGTAGTATATACTACATGTACATATAGAGTGCCTGCAACAATACATTTACAATGATCCTCTGCTAACATGAATGGGTTAAATGATCCCTAGTACAGGGCTACATACAGATCATTTAATACATTCATGTTAGTATAATTGTAAATGTATTCTCTGCACTGTATTGGCAGTATGTACTCTATATAGAGTATATACTGCTAATACAGTGCAGACAATACATATATAATTGCTTAATGAATTTCTCTCTCTACCCCCGCCCTCACTCACTGTGTCCGTGTGCCAGTGATCGATCATCACATCACGGAGAGAGCAGGGACGAGTCAGCGGCACGCTGGTCCAGTGGGAGGAGCTCTAAAGAGCATGCATAGTGTTTTTTTTACATATCTGTATTCTATATTATGGCTATTTAAAAGATATAAAATAAATAATTTTGATTAGGCTTTCTACTTTGGATCTAGCAGGTGGAACTTTTAAGCTTCTTTTACTTTTTCCATGCTTTTTCTTCTTTTGATGTAAAAGCCATTTATAGCATTCATTGAGGGGAATTTATCCAAACTGGAGCAGACAAAATCTGGAGCAGCTGGGCAACCAATCAGCTTATCTCTGTCATTTTTAAATCTTAACCACCTTCCATCCATGGCTGTTTATGAATGGCCGGACGGGAGTCTGCTAGGAGCAGGAGGGCGTCTTAAGACGTCCTGCCCCTCCCCCCTCTCGTGTGCGGCGCTTAGCGTGCACACGGGAGAGAAAACTGTGACGTGTAAACAGCCAGCGATGGTTCTTTACATACAAGCGATCAGGCGTCTCTAGAAACGCCCGATCGCTTGCGGGTCCCCCCTCCCCCTTACTTCTGTCCCGCCGTCTCCTCGCTGCCGGTCCCGTGATCCGCTGTGGCCGATGCAGCAGATCAGTACTCGATCTCCCTTTGATCTCTTTTCCTGTCCCCGAATGCAGGAAGTGATGTATATTACATTACTTCCTGCATTCAGTGTCACTCTCCGGTGCGGAACACCGGAGAGAAGCTGATGAAGCAGATCTCTGCTTCATCAGCTTCTCTAGGGGTCCTTAGGTGACACCAGAGGTCTTGGAAACCCCTGATGTCTCCATAAAGAGGACCTATTTGGTGAACTGGCTATCACGTAAAGGATTTCTTAGTCCCCTATGTGATAGCAATAAAGTTGTCTAAAAAAATAAAGAAGCTAAAAAAAATATTCACAAATAATAATAAAAAAAATGTTTTAAAGTCCGCCGCCCCCCTACATACACACGCAAACATGCGTCGGGTGCGCTTAAGTACAAAAACGACGATTGCGCCATTATGCCGCACATGATACATATCGCCGCGAACGTCAGAGTGAGAGCAATAATTCTAGGGCCATCAATCACTGATAACACTAAACTGATGAGCGGTAAAAACTTTTAAAGTGTCGCCTATGGTCAATTTTGGTTGCGCTCGTTTTCTGCGATTTTGCGGGCGCGCGCAATTTTAAAGCTTGACATGTTTGGTGTCTATTTACCCGACGAGACCCCGTCTTTTTTATATTTTACCAAAGAATTGGGGTGATAATAAATGTTTCCTAACATTTTACAGGGAAACATGTTTTTTTTTCAAAATATAGGGTACTTTTTTTTGTTATATAGTAAAAAATAAAAATATAAATACCACCAAAAGAAAGCTCTATCTGTCCCCAAAAAATGGTATGAAATTCGTTTCAGTACAGCTTCGCTTGACGGAATAAACGTCAGTCAAAGTACCGCAGTGCTGAATATTGAAAAATGGCCTGGCCAGGAAGGGGGTGAAACACCATGGTCTTCAAGTGGTTAAGTGAATAAACTGAAGAGAGAAGCTGATTGGTTGCTATGGGAAACTGCTCCAGATATTGTCTGCTCCAGTTCTGATAAATTTCCCTCATAAGTTCAAGCTAAAATCTACACCCACAGTGACTCCTAACATATCAGATAGATCAGCCTGAAGTGTGTGTGTGTATGCTTTGCCGAGCAATATCTGTCTAAGGAGACCTTTATTAAGAAGTGCACAGCTCAAATTGTCACCCTTTTGCTGCCAGGGTCGTAACACACTCCTGCCTGCAATAGCAGCTGTCAGCTTTGCATGTAGAAGTGATTTGATTTGAAAAAAGTTGAGAGTTTAATACTACTCCAAGTGTACAAAAAGTTTTACAAAATTAGAGCTGAATAAAATAAATGTTAAAAAAACCCCTAAAATATGTACCCCCCTAATCTCCGTGTGCATGAACATATGAATGGAAACATACTGTATGGGCTTTAAAAGCGTCACCTAAGGACAATTTGGGCTGCTGAATTTTTTTTCTGTTTTGAGGCTTGACATGTTGGGTACCTGTTTACTTGATACAACCTCATATTTTATCTTTTACCAAACAATCGGGTATTGTATTGTGTTTGTGTGCACTAAAATTAATTTGAATGCATTTTTTATGGAATATTTGGTTTTCATAAACTGGTGTGCTGATTAATTTTCAAGCTTACAATTTTTACTTTGTGCAAAAATGGCTTTGGCAGCAAAAGGGTAAAAGACTGACAAGCAACTGGAAGCCCTTTCTAAGGCTGGCCATACACCTATAATTTTTTTTTTTCATTTAATCCGTGGGCTGAACGAAAATAATTGACGCAATCCCTTCATCAACACAAACAGCGTGTCGATCGAGGAATCGCCATTTTCCTGGAGGCTCCTTCGATCAGCTGATCGAGGAATGCCGGCTGAAAGAGAGCCGACAGCCCCACACACTGTGCGAATTTTGGCTGGTACATTAAAAAACCAGCCGAAATTCGGCCAATAGCTCCCTGGCAGACCCTGTTCTGCCATCTGTCATGGCTAACATGTCGATTTGTCAGACTCTAGGAGTATGGAATAAAGATGTGTGGCAAACTCAATACTATTCCAGGGGTGTAGGAAGGCTGCATTCCTGTATCACTGCACACACGGAGCTCCGTGCTGTAACCTAATCTAATTTGCCTGATCCCAGGTCCCCCACAAGAGGGGGGGACCCCGAAGACCATGGCAGAAAAGAAGCCAGGGTGCAGACCCCAGATAAACCCCAGATATTTCACCGCAGCCCCCCCAACAGAAAATAAATAAATAGTAATAATTACAAAAATGTTTAAAAAACTAATAAAAAAATTTGTAAAATAAAAACCTAATAAAAAGCACAATCCCTCCCCCCCACATAACATACACATTTTGTGGTGTACGCCATGCACATGGGCTGCAGTGCGTTGTTAGAACGCATCACATTGCATGATTTTATTTATTTTCTTTTAAAAAAACATAACTGTGGCAGCGCATGGCAAAGCTTTGTGACGCATTGCCATGCGTTGTGATACCTTGTGTTGTAATTAAATATACGCCTGTATCATTTTATCACAACACAAAAACCAACACTGTGTAAAAACAATTTTTAAAGGAGAACTATGTGATGAGTGATTTCCACTCACCTCATAGTTCTAGCCGACCTGTGACAATGAGACTGTCACAGGTCGGCTCAGTAGATCGGGAGGTGAGCGAACAGATACCGGCGTTCGCTCACCTCTCGATCCTGTCACGGCTCTCTGCTGTGACAGGGAAGGGGCTGGATTCCCCCTCCCCGCTCCGATTACCGGGTAACCAGGGACGCTGATCAGTCTCTGCATGCAAGTGGCCAGAGCCAGCCGTGAGATGACGGATGGCTCCACCAAGCTGTCAGTAGCAGGTTGTCGGCCGGCCGCTTGGCCAGCTTCGGCTTTTACCTCGGCTCATTCAAGCCGAAGCATATGCCTTCGGCTCGACTGAGCCACTCGGGCAACTTCGGGAGCTGTACGGGCTAAAGTGAATAGCCCGTACAGCAGCCCTTCGGTTCTACTGAACTGAAGGGGTCCTGGGGCCGAAGGATCACCCGGCAGCTTTGTGAATAACCCCCATAGTACTATGTGTCCCAAGTTATGAATGAACAGGCTGTGATTTACATCACTTCCTATTCATTCATGAATTTCTGAATAGGGAGTAGCACTCACTATAGAGGCTTCTCCCCATTCATAAACTGCATGATAGTAAATATCTTACTATCAGCAGTGTCTGAATGAATGGGAAGCCTCTGTACTGAGTGCTTCCCATTCATTGAGTGCTGAGGCTGCAGAAAAAAAAATTGAGGACTCTGTCCTCAATTTCTTTTTCTATTTCAAAAGGGAAATGTCAGGGGTCTGTTTAGACCCCAGAGATTTCACCGTAGCCCCCTCCAACAGTAAAACAAAACAAAAAAAGAAATTTAAAATAATGTTTTTTTTAAATTAAATTATTAAAATTATATAAAAAAAGCACAACCCCTCCCTCCCCCCACATAACATACACATATTCTGGTGTATGCCATGCACATGCGCTGCAGTGCATTGTTAGAACAGGCTTTCTAGAACTCAGTGCATGATTTGTTTTATTTATTTTTTTTCTTTAAAAAAAAACATTAAATTAACTGTGGCAGCGCATGGCAAAGCTTTGTGACGCATTGCCGTGTGCGTTCTGATACCTTGTGTTGCAATTAAATATACGCCTGTATCATTTTACCACAACACAAACACCAGCGACTATTTTTAACATAAGTCGCTTTTTTACAGTTTTGCGTACCTTAATTTTTTTACCTTTTCGCAAAAAGGCGCATATTTCAAATGTGCAAACATTTATTTTTGTGGAC